TGCAACATCCTCTTCGTTTGATCCTTCAATGTATTTTGGGATCCCTTTTTCGTGACTACCAGAGTTGGAAGCCAGCCAAAACAAACTCCAGGCCAGGCCGGTTCCCTTGACGCTCTGCTGGTATCCTGCACTTCTGCACGTATCCAACTCATCACCCATTGTGGAGTTGAATTTCTGGGAACTTCTCTCCCCCTCCCTCATTTCCCCGCCCTCCCCAACTTCCCTGGGCCCATAATTTCCGAAGCCTGGTTTTCCTCTACTTGGAGTTTGGAGGGTTTCGGGTGAAATTCCATTGGCTGAGAGTTGGGGAAGTGCCAAGCAGGAGTGAAGCATTGAAAACCTTGGCTCATTCTTCCCTCTTTTAAGGTCTGCCCTTCTGTGGTGTCCCTCGTTTTCCTTTGTGTTGTTTTTGCAGTTATTTGTTGTGTCAACCCACTTTAATTAAATAATCAATAGCAAAAGCACTTAGACTTATATACCGCTTTACAGTGCTTTACAGCCCTCTCTAAGCGGTTTACAGAGTCAGCTTATTGCCCCCAATAATTTGGGGTTCCTCGTTTTACCCACCTCGGAAGGACGGAAGGCTGAGCCAATCTTGAGCCTGGTGAGATTCGATCTGCCAAACTGCAGGCAGCAGAAGTGCCCTGCAGTACTACACTCTAACCACTGCACCACCACAGCTCTTAAGTAAAGAGTAAAGGAGAGTAAAGGTAAAGGTTCCTCTCGCCCATATGTGCTACTCGTTCCCGACTCTAGGGGGCGGTGCTCATCTCCGTTTCAAAGCCAAAGAGCCAGCGCTGTCCGAAGACGTCTCCGTGGTCATGTGGCCGGCAGGATTAAACACCAAAGGTGCACGGAGCGCTGTTACCTTCCCACCAAAGGTGGTTCCTATTTTTCTACTTGCATTTTTATGTGCTTTCGAGCTGCTAGGTTGGCAGAAGCTGGGACAGGTCACGGGAGCTCACTCACAAAGGTTGTCATTTTTACATGCTTTTGAACTGCTAGGTTGGCAGAAGCTGGGACAAGTAACAGGAGCTCACTCTGTTATGCGGCGCTAGGGATTCGAACCGCCAAACTGCTGACCTTTGTGAAAGCAGGTAAAAAATGCAAGTAGAAAAACAGGAACCACCTTTGGTGGGAAGGTAACAGCGCTCCATGTGCCTTGTAACTGTAAAGAAACCGATACGGAACGGCTATATATGATGGAACTTCTTCTTCCTATGTTGTTTTAAGTCATGTGTTTGTTTTTGTCGATGTGTTGATGTGTTTAAAATAAAAATTAAAGAAAAAAACTTCCTTTTCCTCTTATCATCTCCTATCTGGTGGAGGGGGGGGAGAGAGTTTCACTTCATTTCCCCCCCTCCTCCTCCTCCTCTCTTGCAGAACCATCAAGCCAAAATAGCCCAGCTGTATTTACCTCTTGTCGGAATCCTTTTGGAAAACATCCAGCGGTTAGCCGGGCCGGATAACCTGTATTTATGCACGCCGATGTCCACCTCTGTGAGTAATTTTGAAGCAGGGGCTTGGATCATTCCAGATGTGGGACAGGCTCCCCAGCTCAGTACACACACACACACACAAACACACACACACCGCCTGCTGGATGAGAAAACTTTTGGAAGGCGCCTGTGATGATACGTGGGGAAGAGCTTGGGAGACAGGGCCAAGGGAACGGTCAGATAAGAGAGGCCAGAGACCACCGATCTCAATACACAATAAAGTCTGATTTATACAGATTATGGCAGGAACCAGATATCCCTGGGTAGTCTCTAGGAATAAAGTCTAGCTGATCTGATGAACTGGCAGAACCACCACAGTGTTTAACAGATCACAACCACTTTATATCTGCTGCCATTTTTAAAATGATTGTGCGGTATGCAGGTATAAAGAAGCAGCATGTATTTGTTTGTTTGTTTGTTTATTTGTTTATTTTATTTATATGCTGCCCTTTTCCCCCGAAGGGGACTCAGGGCGGCTCACAACTCAACTAAGGGAG